AAAAATTCTACATGTACTTTTAAATTCACTGGACACGGGTACCCAAACTCATAACTTCAAATGTACATTTCTTTTCAATTTGACATCAAAAGTCGAAATGTTTGGTGAGATGATCTAATTCAGTCTTCATTTTATTTTAAAAAGAACAGCAACTAATTCGGTTTCATGCGACTTATCACATATCATCGAAATTGCATAATTCTCACGTTAACCTGCACTTAACAATTCCCACCGAAAAGAAAATTATTTATTCTTACCTTTTCCACTTTGCATTAAATTGAATTTAATTGAATTGGTACCTGTGTATTGATCTATGAAACCTATTCCAGCCTTTGAAGATGTCCATTCTGACTGATGATGATTCGATGTTTTATTTTTAGACGTTTCTACTGTCTTATTTTCATGACATGGGTGATCTTGTAGTGAACTAATATGCGTTTTGGCTGTACATAGTAGGTTAATGTTAGATGTACGTAGACCACCACCCTCTCCGGGGACATTCTGACAGTCACATCGTATTTCTAAACATTTTCTAGTACGTAGCGAAACAGCACATACCTTCAGTGGTCCGTTTCTTGCAACTTTGAATTCAACAAAAGTATCATCATCTGAGAAGAAATCATTGATCATCGGATTTTCAATTTCTATGAAGGAAAAAAAATCGAAAACATTTTCAACTTAACCCGATGGTGAACTTAATATTTTACAACAATATTTTTAGTAATTGATTGTAATGATAATTATATGATAACGTTTCAAAAATTACATTAAATGTTGTGATAAAGAAATTATGCAATTGATAACATCTCGAACAAACCAAAATAAATATTGTCATTAAACATGATGGTTATTATGATGGAAAAAAAATGTATCAGTTCTCACTTGTCAAATTTGTATTTTGGACTGCCCGTTTTATATTTTCGGTTATATTTTCCAAATCTCTGTGAGAAAATAATAAATTTACTATATATATTAAAGTCATTACGCAACATCTGCTGTCAAATTTTGAGAATATCCGCTCCTGGGATGAAATGTCAACTCTGTATATGCATCCAGAGTACTTGTCTTTTAATGTCAAAATAGATTCAGGGAGAAAAGGGATACACGGTTAATGCCGATTTGCAGTCAAGGTGTGAAAAATCAATCACGTCAAAAATGATGCTGATCATGTGTTGTAGATATTGAACTCCCAAAAGCAAAATATGACGTCACAATCAAGCGAGGATCTCTCCAAATGTAATAATCCATTTGTAATATTATATTCATTAAAGGTCACTGTTCATGGCATTGTAAAATCAAATAAATAAGGCGGGTTTAAGCCCTTATTCAGCTCCAGGGAATCTCATCAAAAAGTGTATGAGGTAGAAGAAGCGGACATTTAAAAAGATAATGACGTTATTGGACGTCACGAAAATAAACGACGACAGCGCAGGGTGATCATATAATGTCGTTTTCATTTTATAATAATTTGGCAAATGATGAACATATCAGGCTTAAATTTTCAACATTTCTTTATTTTTTGTTGTTTTTTTGTTCCATATAAATTTTGAAAGCAAAGACTACATAGTACTAATTTTATAGCCTCAGTCCACGAACATTTTGATAACCCCTTGTATATAATCATTGCGGAATTTTATTAAGCTTTCACTCGCTGATTCTTTCACCTCACTTGAAGGGAAATTTATTTTTGCAGATCTATATGATAAAAAAAGCAAACTTTAAAGGAGTCTTGTGAAAATGTTAAAAGCTTTGCCTTCATTAAAGTCGCTCAATCCGAAACAGGCACATATTATCTTACGCAATAAAAGTTCGTCATTACATAGAAAATATATCGAAATAAATTATGAGATTGATTTAATAGCTTATTGCAACAATCCTTACAAGGAAAAACTTGATCAGAAACCTTATTGACAAACAGAAGTTCCTGACAGGAAGTTAAGATCTGTTGTGAAGTCACCTTTGAAAAAAAAATAAATTTATCGGTTTTATCTTATTATGAAGTAAATTCAAACCCGAGTATTTTTTCCCAATGCAATAGAAGCCATAATATATCTTTTAGAAATTAAGGAATTAATTGAATGTAATCCATAGTAATTTTTATATTAATAATAAAGGAAAATCAGATACCGGTATTTATTTTAAAGGAAGTTTAGTAACGCAGGCTAATATATAGTCCGTGTACAGGTATAAGTACTTTTTGTGAAAAAAAAAATGCTCGGGTTTGTTCTTCATAAGATATACATTATTTTAAGCGATAAATTTAATTTTAGAAGGTGATTTCACGCGATATCAACTTAAGATTATTTATTGTGTGACCTAACAAAAAATATTTTTTTAACTTTTGAATTTTGATATCTTTTAAAAGAAAAAGATGTTGGGGATATAATTTGACAAAAGTTGAAACAATTTATGGACAATTATTTTTCAAGAAGAAAAACGAATATATTTTTTCGCAATTAGAATCTGACCAAGCGGCTTCAATGTTATAAAACGAATTCCTTATTTCAGTAAACACACACTCTTTTCTTTAGCCGTACACATCAGCATTTGTTAATCCTAGAATATATTTAAGGATCTTATAAATGTTTATATTTTAGAAGAAAGAAAATGATTCATAATTCATATGATTCGTAATTCATACGAAGACATTCGTGCCCACCTCTTTAACGGTTGTGTCAAATTTCAGTAGATATTTATACTTCAAAGACAAAAACATTTGAGGTTAACACAAAACAAACAAGTAATTCAGAGAATTTGTGTCCCCCGCTTAAGGAAAAAGTAAAACATGCACAGTTTGGGGGGAGGGGGGGGGAGAGTCGAATCCCCCTCTCTGAATTTGTAGAATTATTGAATGTATACATGCATGTATACTGAAGCAAATAAAATATACCATTATGGCTATAAAGATTTAATTGCTTATTCTTTATTATGTGTACAGAAGATTCTTTTTATTTTGAATATTTATCACACTGTAATGATGATTTTATGAGTTTGTACAAGCCAGACCTCGTAAATTTTTCATTTCGCGTGCTGAATACTATTATTTTGTAAAAAAAAAAAAAAAAAAAAAAAAAATGGGTATTTCTAAAAAAAAAAAAGTGGTCCACCCGGGACTTGAACTCGGGACCTCTCACATGGGAAGCGACATACCACTAAACCACGGAATCGCTTTACATGGAGTCAAGTATATGCAGAAGTGAAGTCACAGACATGTATATATTCATGTTCGGTATTGTCAAAATTTCACACAATCCATGGTGTTTGCATCTTCGCTAGCCAAGGGTTTCTGATATGTTACTCTCCTCATGAACCCTTGGCATACGGTGAAGTCAAAAGACGGGATTGTTTTCGTCACGTGATCTCGAAGGTACGCACAGATTGCGTCATCGACAGAAATAAAGACGCGTGTTTAAAAAAAATCAAATCAAAGTTTTTTTCAAGAATAATTAAGAAGCAATAACTAAGTTATGCTTATTTATTATTTATAGTACAAATCTGAACTTCAATATAGATCTAGAAGATATTGGATGACACCATAACTATTCATAGCTATTCATAGAATTGCATGTTATCTAACGGATCCTTGTTTACTTGCGTTTTTCATTCCCGAGATTAAAGAGTCAAGAAGTATCCCGAACGCAAATATCGTCATTTACAAGAAACAATTGCTGATTTGTCGACCGGATGTACCGAATCCCAATCAGAACTCGAGAAAAAAAACCCAACTTCTATGAACACCGTATGCCAAGGGTTCATGAGGAGAGTAACGTATCAGAAACCCTTGGCTAGCGAAGATGTGGTGTTTGACTATTTAGCCTTTATTAAACAGTTCTAGTAGATGTAATAGGAACATAAAGTCCGCCGAGAACCTGTTTTATACGCAATAACTCTCCTCATGCCCCTATGCTCAAAATAGCGACATATAATACTATAAAAACTAATAAAACAAACGGGACAGGGCACTTTGAGAGGGGTGAGAGAGGTCCTAGGGAGTTTTGGTATAAAATTACATTGCATAAGCTCAAAATCTTCTTGAAATATCGCCCGGAAAGGATAGTGTTACACACAGACAGAATGTATAAATTTACGACCTTGAACTTTGACCTTTTGACCTCAAAATCAACAGGGGTCTTTACTAGGCCATAGGGAGTTGTTATGTAAAATTTCATTGCATTAGCTCAAATGGTTCTCGAGATATTGTGTGGAAACGACAGTGTTTTAACAGACATAATTTGCTTATTTATGACCTTGACATTTGACCTTTTGACCTCAAAATCAAGAGGGTTCTTTAGTCCATAAGGAGTTGCTTTGCTAAATTTCATTGCAAAAGCTCAAAGGATTCTCGAGATATCGTGTGGAAACGAAAGCGTTACAGACAGACAGAAAGACGGACGGACGGACAAACCCAAATTAATATCCCCCACTTTTCAAGCGGGGGACAACAAAAGCGTTTAAAGCTATGCAACTTATTTTATGCTTACAATTGCTTTTTGAAATTTGCTATTTTTTCGTATTTAAAAATAAATAAGCTCAAGTGTGAATGACTTTCTGAAAACCTAGATAATATCTAATGAGACATTACAATATACATGATAATAGGAAATCATAACTTACACATTCTTATTCGGGCCATAGATAAAATCAAGCGGGTTATAGCAATTGAACGCCAAACCCACAGAGGAGGAGGTGAAAACTGAAGTACAAAATATTAATAAAATCAAATAAGGATAACAAGAATAGTTTCATTCTGAACCAGTTATTCGTTTCATGGTGAAATTTATATAGATTTATATAGAAAGCAAGATTGATTTGCAAATCAAAATGAATATCGAAGTTTTATCAATATAGAATCAAGTTAATATGATACTTGATTTATTCCTCATGGTAATAAAATTAATCACTGTTTTTTGCTTTTGAGCAATATTTTGTGTAAAATTCTAAAAAAAAAAAAGATATCGTAATATCAATCATTAATAAAAATATCAAATCAAAAGACTTACATATTAAGGATATAGCAATCATTATTCCCACAAGCAGCTTTTTCATTCCATTCAAGGAATCCTACAACATGGAAGTAGGGTCTTTTGCTTCTTTTGAGGTTTTTTTTTACATTTACAATGCTTCTTACTCTTTTATTATCTTCATTAACATAATTTTGACTGTCATATTGGAGTTTCTAGAAATACAAACAATATATTAAACATTAATCATAAAATATTATCTGAACTTTGTTACTTTATAAAGTACATCATCAACTTCCTCAAATTCGTACATGCAAATATGCGAAGAGACTCATCTATTCTTTTCAGTCCATTCTTTTCACGTGATAAACATATGATAAAACATAAAAGTGAACAGTCAATACGTGGTGCATGTACAGAGTAGAGTATCCAGAGATTTCTTTTCAATATTTCTTTATTACTTGATTATTATATGAGAAGTGCGGATCATAGAACTTTATAAACTCATCTAAAAAATGTCTATAGAACAATTATCTTTCATGAAATCATTTTTTTAGATTGGTAAATTTTTCCAGGACCTTCTTTAAAGCTAAAAAATTTAATGCATACATCCCACAGTTTAACAATTTTAACAAAGTAAATTTGTCTTCCTTGTTGAAAATCAGTAAATATCTGATACCTATGCCATCATATTTTATGCAAGTCTACCATGCTCGTAAAAATTCATTCTAAAATGTAAATAACATGCCTGATTCTGTTCATAAACGCCGGATAGAAAGGTATGTTGTTTATTCAGAACGCTGTATAACATGCTCAATTCTTTTAGAAGTGTGACTATGATTACAGTTTTTGACCCCAACGTTAATTGCCGTCTTCTTTTTACAGACTTAAAATACTTCCCCCTTTTACATTTATCACAGATGTTCATCTGACCGATTAGCTCCCACAAGAGTATAAATTTAAAATAGTCATTTTTCTAAGATCAAAGTTTAAATCGGATTGTTCTTCGAAATGGAAATATGTAAGAATTTCAGATCTATCTGTGGAGTTCAAAATCTTCATACTGAAATATTTTCAGATATCAATTAAAACTCTGATTTCCTCGATAAAACACGCATTTATTTAACTATTTTAAAACATATGAAAGAATAATTGATTTTAACCTTTGCTTTGGCGAATTTTAGCCTGAAAAGGAAGAAAATGAAAATAAAATAGATATTATAACATTGAAATACTGATTTTGTCTGATGTTGATTGAAGTACATACAAGTTGATGTTGATGATTCCAGTTGGCTTACTAGTTTCTTTATTTTTCCATTTTTATTTTATGTACATATAATTTAAAGACATAATTATTTACGGTTCCTTACTTGAAACATCAGTGATATAATAAATACTTCCTTTTATACTTCTTAATGGACAATAATGCTTTTAAACTAAATCTCTTGAAAAATTTGACTTGTAAAACTTCAAATACTGTTTATGAAATAAATGTACACTCTGCTGACTAATTACATGTAGCATAATAAGATATGGAAAGACAAAAATTTTATTCAACAAAATATTGTCTTGCTATAGGCTTCAAAAAACAAAAAAGCAGAATTCTTTTATGATAATGTAGCTCTTCTGGTTTGTACTTTTTGCAAAGAAAGAGAAAAGTTGCAATATAATTGAATTTAAGGATTTGAAAGACCAATAAATATAATCATTATTTTATCTTTATATAGTCAACTTGTGTGTCACATTGGCGTCGGAAGCAAATTGATAGTTTGTGTGTGTGTAGGAGGGAGGGGCTAGGTGAGAGAAAAATATTCAAACCTAAAAAAATCCTATTTCTTGGGGGCGGGGGGGGGGGTTAAGGATCGAACATTTTTTAATGCTAAAATTTTTCCAAGCACTACCAATTACCTGTTGACATTGGGGGATGGAGGAGGAGCTAAACCTAGGCCCTAGTGTTCAATGTCTATGTTATGTCTATCTATGCAAAAAAAAAAAGCGGGTGGGGGGGGCTAAGCCTCCCTAGCCCCCCCTGCCCCTCCCGGTTCCGACACCTATGTGTCAAGATATTTTGAAATCACACCAAAACTGCAGAAGTAGCATTTTAAAAGATTTTTACAAAATTTATATTTCTAGTAGCAATGGCGTCTCCGTTCATCAAAATTAAAAACCGATGCATACATGTTTTGTCGGTGAGTAGTCTACATCTGAGCCAAGTATTATTGAAATCAGACCAAAACTGTAGGAAAAGTAGCGTTTTGAATGAATTTCAAAGAAATTTCTATTTTAATGACCATTTCAACACCATACGTAAGAATCAAAAAATGATGCACTATATTATGTCTTTCTCTTTGGTATACGTGTGTACCGAAATCAGGCTAAAATTGTAACAGGAGTTGCAGTTTTAAGGATTATCACATATATTTCTAGTTGCAGTCACCATAGCGACTACGTTCATTATAATTATATAGACGTTGTGCAAGGTGGTGTTGTCGATTTTGGTAACGTCAAAATGACGTTACTTTTCGTTATGCAATAAATTTAATTTGACCTTAAATTCTTCACTGAACTTTTAATGAAGGGGAAAAAACCAAAAAATGTCGTCAAATATACAATGCAATTTATTGAAAAAAACATGTAATTCAATTCTCTGCTATTTTGCATTGATAATGGGAGGGTAATATGTGCATAATTTACCCAATTAAATAAAAGCCTCGGTTGAAATTACAAAATTCGTTTGGCATCGCATTTTAAATTTACCTGCTTTTGATTTTATTGAGATACATTCAAAACGATTCCATATTATATCAGCATGAATTTTTTATTTATTTTTTTCGTTCAAAGCCCCAATCCAAATCCCATATTTAACCCCCGCTCTCACATAGACCCTTTGTTATATGAGATCTATCTATTTCAAATAATTCAGTTGTAAAACCTAGAAGCAGCGAACCAGAGAATCGACACCTCCCCCTCCCTCAAACTTAGAACTACATGAAAAGGATTTTCGATGTGGTGAAGTTTTGAGAATTTTTTCAGTTTTCTCATCTCTACCCTTTAAATGTACGATATTTATGCGCAGCAACGTGTGCCTCACTGATCGTACGGTTTGTATTCTTCAAATATTGGCACTTATGCAGTTTGTTTGTTTATTGCGATTGTATGCCTGTCATTATTAAGCAAATAAGCCTTCATCACATAACTAAATTCTAACCATTAAGAGTGTTGAATGGAATAGATGCAGTAACTAAAACAAGACTACAAATTGATTCTTTAAATGAAATGCATGTATATTGGAGATACCGAACATAATTCAAGCTCAAAAGTCTATTAAACAATACAAATTTGGAGCAGAGACAATTCAGAATACAAATCGTCTTTGTGATTATGGATGTTGTTCAGCGCAGGATTAAGGCCACCACGTGCATCGGAGATAACCCCGTGGGGACCAGTGAACAAAAGTAGCATTAATTTTCATTTAAAGGTTCGGTCTTGTGTTCCGCTGTATAATTAATTTGAAATCTTCATCTTGAATTTCATACAGATATTCGTAAACAGTTGTTGCCAAACATTTTTATTATAAACAAACTGAGCAGTGCCTTGCTATGAAATATGTAAAGCAAAAGAAAAAGCTAAAGCTCTACTTATTCTTTAAACTACAGTCCCGCTTGAGACATCGCTGAAACGTTGCTAATATATTTGAAAATGAATAACCTTAAACGATTACTTTAAAAGTTTCTAGATACAAAAAATCCCGGGCTATCTTTCAATATGTTCATACTAGCGATATAACTCCATTTTTACTATGAATCCTTCCAAACATTCTTGAGCTCGATATAAAGAAGTGAAAGAATGAAAACTTTAATGTTTAAAAAAAATCAAGAAAACAAGTAAGAAATCAAACTTAATATCCTAACTAATGCATAACATTTTCCAAATAAGGTATAAGTCAGATGTGGGTTCTCAAAAAAAAAAACTCTTAAGAAATTTCAGTAAATTTAATATAGCCTATTTCTTTTTCAAAAGTTTGTAAATAAAGATACACATGTTAAGATTTTCTACACTTTCCCAAGATAGATTAGAAACTACGCTATTTGACATTTAGACACCTGCTTCATTTAAATAAAGTCACCGGACCACAAGTGTGTGAAAATCAGGCAATATATCGATTCTTAATTAGAGCTCATTGGTAAGGGCGCTTAAGCTAAATACATGTACTCAGAGTTGTTTTGGTTTACTCTCAGTTGTCCATGATGTTTTTGTATGAGGAAGTTACATTGTATGAATTTTAAAATGCCTCATTGAAATCTCATTTTCCTTAAATAGTCGTGTTTCGATCGAGTTATTCCGAAATACCCTTTTTATTTCCTGTTTAATCAAGTTGAATCAAAATTGTAATATTTATTGTATTATTTTTATAGAATACTTTTATCTTATTTCATTAAAACTGTTGCTTCCGTGTAAATTTACATAGCAAACATAGCATTGCCATGAGTCTAGACGTCAACGTTTTACTTTTAAGGACTTATTTTCAACACTATTTAGGAACATCTCAACAATTCAATAAATAAATCTTTTGTTAATTTGGTTACCTTAATACATGTAAGGCAAATGCATAAGTTGCAGGATAAAAATAAAATACATAAATATCTGCCTTGGAATATACTTATGTGAAAGTAGTTACATATATCAGGATATACTTAATGCGGGATGTTGAGCCCTAGTGCCTTTTCCTGTTGAATAAGACAAATCATGAATGTCAGCATGAACAGTTTGCACTTATTTTTAGCAATATAATTTATCCAGTCAGAATGCATGTTTTAGTTTTCAAAATAGCAGAAATTCAATTATCAAGGAGGCTGGGGGTTAACAAATTAACCACAAATTAACCACCAGATTTAACTTAATTTTTTAGATATGATATCTTAAGCTGTCAACTATCATTTGGCAAAGAAAAATTTCAAAAATTTTAGTTTTAAAATTTGATCATTTTCTATATCTTCATATGGAGCTCTTCTTCTAAAGGAGATAAATATAGTCTAAAAATGGCCACAACCCCCCAGCCCCCTTAATCACAACAAAATCGATATCATAACTGCTTTTCTCTCATTTTAATTTTATCACAATGAGTACTTTATGAATATTTTTCTCTTTTTTAAGATGTAAAGTCTGAGAATGAGAAATGAAAAATTGTGTTTACTCATACTGTAAAATCACATATCTTCGTGGTTTTTTTTTTTTCGTGTTTTGAGTAAAAACTCTTGTTTCATAGGAATTTGAATTCATGGATGAAAATTTTTTGAGTATTTATGTATGTAGTATTTTAAATTTCGTGGTGGAAATGAATTTGCAGGACTCTCCATACCTCGAATAAAACGAAAATAAACCCCCACGAAAAATTTGTCATTTCACAGTAAATGATGACGCAGGTAGATATGTAGTAATCATTGCATGTTTCTATTTCTATTTTCACACAAATAGTAAGTATTTGAGTCCTTCACAGTCAGTATGCTTCCACTTGCCCTGTAAGGGCATTTTTGTCCTGAGAAATGAGTATACATGTACATTGTTTCCATCTGAACGAATAGAAAATCAATTGTTCTTTTTTTTATTTTGCTGAAAGTTCCTCCAATTGTTGAATGAAATTGTGATAAGATAAAAAAAAATAGCTTATATATTTAGTAAAAAGAAAAAAAAAGTAATTAATTCAAACCCTTTATCAATTTTCTACTTTTTGGAGAAGTTTTTAGGGGTTATGTTTTGAACAGTGTCCTGGTCGCTGCTTAAAACACATGTGTTGGTGTAAACGGGTTGATTCGTCTGAGTTGTG